AACCCCAGTTGCGCCGCCACCCCCTTTTCAGCGAACGAGAGCGCCGGCCCGAAACTCTTCGGTGTCGAGTCAAGCTCCGACACGGTTCAGCCGAGTTCAGTCGCGCCATTCGGCCGTGGTTGTTCACGTGTCGGCCCCGTGTGCACATTTTCCGTGTTCCGTGTTTCCGGCCCCCTCCCCCCAAGGGGAAGAAGGGAAAGAAAAAAAAGGGGAGGAGGAGAGAGAGAGAGAGAAAGAGAAAGAGAGAGGAGAAGAGAGAGAGAGAGAGAGGAGAGAGGGGAGTGGAAAGGAAGTGGATTCCCGCGTTCGATGGTCCCGATCGGAGAGGCCCGCCACGATCGACGCAAGGTAGATAGATAGATAGATAGATAGATAGATAGATCCGTTATAGATCTAAGAGAGATCCGCTCGAATTTGACCAATATTTGTTTTCATGGACCGCGTGTGCAACGTGCTCCCTCATATCATTTATCTTATATATCGTGTATCTTCTCTTTTGTATCCTGTCCCGTCCAGGGATCCTTTTTCTTTTTTTCTTTTTTTTTTTCTCGAGATCGATTCCAAAACCGATTCTCTGGGGATCGTACACGTCGAGTCAAGATCGTCTACTTGTAATCGTAATTTTTTATTTGAATGTTTGAATCGACGAGCAAAGTGTTTTAAGTGTATATATATGTATATATATGTATATTGGTATACGTGGTAAGACTTCCTTTTTAAATTTTCGATTCAATACTTGTAATACGAAAGATGGTTTAAGAACCGCAGTTGTGGAAAAAATAATTAAGACGTTTTTTCCCTTCCCCCCTCCCTTTTAATTTTTCCGGTTACTCGAGCGTGGAATCTTTCGCCAAGGGACCGATTTAATTAGATTCATAGGAGGGTTGATGAAAGAGCGTAGATTGCGATCCCCCGTAGTTTTGGAGGGAAATTGATTTCCGTCCCCGCGCCAACGAATCACGCCCCCGAATCCACCCTCCGCCGTTCCTCGTGGAATCGATTAAAAATCATTTATCGGGTGGCTTGATAATTGGCCCGTTAATCTCCCCCTTCTTCCTTTAATTTCGTGTCGTTCGTTCGTGCGACACGCGTCTCGACGCGTCTTTTTTCCTTTTTTACCCGCTCAGGCGCGAAACCTTGAATATTTCCTTCCGCGAGATTTCGGACACGAAAATTTTTTTTCGCCTGTCGAAACTGGCGAAACGATTCGATTAATGACAAAGTGGGACGACGATGTATTCGTTAACGATGGAAGCGAAATTGACTTTTTGCGCGCATTAAACATTTAATTAAACTTCAGAATTTTTCAAGATATTTAATCTATGTTTAATCCGCTTGAAATCGAGTTGATACACACTTTGTGCGCCATACTTTTTAATTAATCCCGTCGAAATTACCTAGCTCGTAATTATATACTTATTATATTTTTCTTAGTTTAATTTTTGAATCAATTATGTATCATTCAATTATTCCACTCGAATCCATTTACCGTGTGTCGATAATTTGTTGTAACAAATATAATCCCTCGATCCGATGGGATGTGATTCCATTTCCAATTATATTTTGGCAAAAGAGAAGAAGAAGAGAGGAAAAAAGTGCTGCTAAAATTCATAGACAGTTTTGCGAGGTTTATGGGTCGATAAACGTGACAATAAAACGTGGCCATATCGTTCGTCTCGACAAAAGACAAACGAATATTCGAAGAGAGTGATGATAGATAAGAAAATCGCCGATTCGCAATATCTATCGAATTCTTTTGTGTGTCACATTCACGTGAAAAACCGAGAAACAATATGCATCAATATCCAAAAGGATATCTATCTGACGATAGGTTTTTCAATAATTTTTTGAAATAAAAAAAACTAGTGACGACAAAGATACATATCAAAGTCCACGTGCAAAAATTTTTTCGCGTATAATTTTTTGCACAAATAAAACTAAACTTCGTCCACTTCTTATTTGCGAACGGATATCGCTTTCGACAATTCTTTCTTATTTTTTTCGAGTAAACTTTGAACGGGTATCTTTTGATGTATTATTATTATTATTTTCTTTTTTAGAGTAAATTGTATTTCTTTTTTTCACGCGAGTTGCGAAAATGGATTTAAATATTCATAATTTAGGATGTAGAATCTTCTCTTGGCCTCGTTTCTACACCGGAATGCTGTAATGTGAACGTGTGTTGCCACGATTCCCGCCATTTTGTACGATTCTAATTAATTCTTGAGAGGATACGCGAAACTTGAATTAATATCGCGCGATTTGGCGCAAAGGGAAAGAGAGAGAGAGAGAGGGGAAGAGAGGAAATTTCGGAAGCAAGAGACGGAAGAAACTTTTCTCGAACGACTTCCGCCTTTCAACTTCCCTCCTTCGTTTATCCACCGTTTTTCTTTGTAACCAGCCATTCTTCCAATGAAAATCATAATTGAAAACGTTTTCGAATACCTTCCAATCCCATTTTATATCCCGCATTGTTTAATTATTGGTTTTTTCGCGAATCGGATGGGAAAGTGGGTCGCGAAGAATTCGCGGATAACATCGATGTATCGACTAACGTTGTAATTTCGGAAGTTCGGGGATGATCTGAAAGATTAAGTTTCGAGAATTTCGAGAACCTCTTTGGGGGAGGTTTAATATGTTTTATTTAACCTCATACCTTGTGGATATGATTGATTTGAGAGTAATATTTCGACGAGGGAGAAATTCGAAATTGAGATGAGCGATTAAATTGCGAGCGAAAATTCATGGAAGGAATGGAAGGAATGGAAGTAAATTAGTAAGATAGTTGGTTTATTGAATTTGCTATGTAATTTATTACTTTATCAGATCTGCAAAATTCTAAACTCTTGATTTATTAATTCTGTAAGAAATACCGAGTTTAGAGATCAGTTTATAGCTTCAGTTTAAACTTATTATTTTATCTTTATTATATCAAACCTGAAATCCTTAAACGTTAAAGATTAAAATTGGAAATTAATTATCCATATTAAAAGTTCAAAATAATTTGACTATTAAATTCGAATATCAAGTTTGATCTAATAACGTAATAAATTTTCTTACCCTTCTTCGCACAACCCAAGAATTTTAAGAAGCTCCATTAATCAATTTCTAAAAATATTCAAATTCCCCAGTTTCTATCACCTGTTTTAACATTTTTGTATCTCAAACAGTCTCCCCTCCCTCTCTCCCCTTACTTTTTACTTTGAAATTCAACTGTTCAAACAAACCTGCAACAAAAAAAAATATTAATTTAAAGAAAAATTCTAAACAAATATCATTCTCCACCACCTTCGTCCATAATTACCCAAGCTTACATCCTAACCACTAAAATCCACTACCCACAAATCGAACCTCCATCATTCTCCATCAAAAATCCCGACCCGTGGATGGTGTGGTTCACTTCACACTCCGATTAGAGAAAGAAAAAGAGAGGGAAAATTCAGAACCTACCACCCAAACGTCGAGGAACACGACAATTTTTAACCGCCTAGGAAAAAGAAAAACAGAGAGAGAGAGAGAGAGAGAGAAAAAAAGAAGCCAAGTGGCAATCGAACGAAGCAGGAAGCAGCTTCGTATAAAGCGGTATCGTAATTAATCACGTCGCTTCTCGGCTCGAGACGCGTTGAAAATGTTGGGAAACAGGGATGGGAGGAGGGGAAGAGCCGCCGCTTTCCTCCTCAGGGGATGAAGAGAGAGAGAGAGAAAGAGAAAGAGAGCAATT